GGCAGCTTGGACCCTCCAAGCCATCAGAACTGTGTCTTTATGAGGCTTGGAAGCTGCCGTGTGGCATGATAAGTTTTTAATTGCATTTTTGACTTAATGCTCTTCGATCGCGCACTTCAGTCATATCCTCTTCCATTCAAATTTATTTCTTACGGAGTCTGAAGGGTGAGTTGACACAATCCGGGTATTTGAGTTGAAACCATAAATGACGTCTTAAAACGTATGGGGAGGGTGTGCGCATGGTCATTGAAACCTGTGCTTCACCGATTGGCGGGCATTGCCAAGACTGTGCTCAAACAATACAGCGTTGGTACAACTTGCGTCATTAGTTGTCAGCGGCAGAGAGTATATATATACATTTATGTCCAAGGTACAGGTACATGGTGGCAGCTTGAGTTTCTTGGTGGACATGACCCATTTGCTCGGCGTAGGCAAAACAATACATGGATGAACCACAGTCGCGGGAAAGATATTATATGATCGCCACAAATTAGTGAGGGGGGCCATGTGTGAAAGTAAGCAATTCTAAGCCAAGTATATAGAATGCACGCTGAAAACATGGCGCGTGCAGCGTTGGTGTGCGAAGTTTTTGAGGGCTGCAGGTCATGATTTTTACAACGTGTAACCTGGCACGCGTGTTGCGTTCATTTCCTTTCATGTCAAAACGATGAGGAATGTAAAGTTAAATGGCGCAGGTTCTTTTCCTTTAGACAACTTCCCTTCATGTGCCTTTCATGTTGCACTGATTTGCCGTCAGTGCCCTTTCTTTTACTTTCATGTTGCAATCATTTCCTTTCATGCAAAACACAACATTAAATTTTAAAGGCTCTTTCCCTGTAGACATGTTCCTTCATAGTCACAGTCTTTTCATGTTGCATTCACCTCCTTTCATTTTCCGTTCATGTTGCATTCATTTCATTCCTTTTTCTTTTTGGTTTGCTGCAATAATTGCCTTTAATGTCTCTTTCATGTTGCGTTCATGTCCTTTCATGTAAAAATTGTAACATAAAAGCTGAGCGCTCTTTCCCTTTTGACATGCCCCTTCATTTCCCTTTTATGTGGCATTCGTTACCTTTCATTTTGCATTCTTTTCCTTTCATTTAACATTCCTTTTGCATTCATGTTCCTTTCACGTTGCATTCATGTCATTTCATGTTCCTTTCATGCTGCGCTTTCATTTCCTTTCACGTTGCATTCATTATTTGCCACATGCCACTGCTTTAGAGGCCTCCAAAAAAATAGCTTACATTCGAGTGGGTTCTACTTTCTTCGCGCCTTTCTGGATTTGTCCTTTAGACCTTTCTCCCTTTTTTTTTCTGCCTAGATGTCTTCCTTCCTTCTCAGTTACAACTTGACCGTAAGTGCCTTGCATGGCCACTTCCCGCATGCAGTTTTTGTTCTCTAGTATTCACATGTTGCCTTCAAATTCCAGATGCGTTGCACTGCTTTAGAGGCATCCAACAAAGTAACTTACATTTTAACACCTTTCTTCCGTATATTTTAGAAGCGTCCCCACGTATCAAAGACATTTTCCTGTATTTTAGTCCCCCCGGGGGTATGCACTGCAAATGCGTGGGAGGGGGTCAAGTTATATACATCTATTTTTGGGTGGGGTGGGGTGGCCAAAAGTGTAACATACATTTCACATCCCCTCCCCCGTTTTCATGGTTAACGGGGTGGCGATATTATATGTGCATCTTGTCCGCGTCCACTGTCCGCCCGGGGCAACCCGAAGCGGTCTACCTTGAAATACTCGTCTGCTATACGTTCATGTGGCCTAATGCCTCCTAATTCTTACAGTGCGGGAAACAACTGAAAACACCCTGTCTGCTGCCCTGCGCTTAGCAAAACATTCTCCCTGCGCCAACAGCCCAGGCACAATGCTTCTCCGGTTTTAGTGACACCAGGTCCGGTCGCGCCAATGAGGAAACACATGGCCCCAGCTGCCCGCAGTAGGTCGAAGAGAGAGCAAAAAAAGGGTTGAAGATGCTTGCTACAACGCAAACGTCTTGACAGTGCCCTAGTAGGCCCGGGCGATGCATACAGTATATGATGCATCAGGCGAGAGGCGAGCAGGGCGAGACACATCCTTGCCAACACCAATAGATATGCGCCAAAACGCTCAAAACCCTGCATCCTAGCTCGGAATGTTCGCGCACTATGGCTTTAGTGTTCGGCTTCAATGCCGAATAGTTGTCCAAAGGTGACCTTTGGATTGTGTTTCGTCCGTTGCGAGAACCCTGCATGCGCTGATGCAGCCGGAGGCTTTGCTAACGGGGACGCTGTAGACACCTTGTCCCCACCATGCATTTGCAACGACTTCAAACAAATGGCACGCCATGGATCCCAATGTAAGGCGGTCGAGTCGTTTTGGTACTCTGAACTTGTAGTTGCATGCACCACAAGGACGGTTCGAGGCAAGTCAGCATGTTTTGGAGACCTTCTACATACCCAAGGAAGAATCATCTTGAAAATCATTGAAGCAAAGGGTTGAAGATGGTTGAAGCCCCTTCAGAATTCCAACAGCTTGAAGCAGAAAAATAAGTTTTGGCAAACGTACAGTAACCACCTCTCGAGCTGTGAGAGAACGAATTCTTTTCCACATGCTTTGGATATGGCCGCCAGAGAGGTCTGAAACTGTTTGAAAACAGGTTTGAAATAGGCACGGGGCCTTTCCCAGCATCATCACCAGCCAGACCGCCCTGGGGCTTCAGTGCTCAGCTCACTGGGAAAAGACGAACAATGAAAGATGTGCCAGGGATTTAGCTGTTGTGGTTGGTTCTGTGCTTGCCCCTTTGGGCTGGGTGGGAACAAGGAATTAGTTGCTGTGGTTGGTTTGGGCCTGCATCTTTGGGCCGGGTGCGACCAGGGATTTTCATTGCCGTGGTTGGTTCTGGGCCTGCCTCTTTGAACTGGGCGCGACCAAGGAATTAGTTGCCGTGGTTGATTTCTGTGCCTGCCTCAATTTGGGAGCGCGACCAGGGATTTAGTTGCTGTGGTTGGTTCTGGGCCCGCCCCTTTGCGCCGGGTGCGACCAGGGATTTAGTTGCTGTCGTTGGTTCTGGGCCAGCTGCTGGGTTGGCTCTGCGCCTGCCAGCGCCAAGCAAATATAAACGCCGGCACACTATAGAACTTACAGCCCACAAGGGCGCGCGACCATATATATATATGATTTGCAGTAAATGAAGAGAAGCAACCTGGGGGTAGTCTGCCGTAAGTGCATCTCCGGCTCTTACAGGGAAGAACCTCCAACAACATGCGAACAACTGCAGCTTCCGCTCAGACCCTCCCACGTCTGCTGCGACTTGAGGCCAAGGGGGGGGCGAAAGCTAGCGCTCCAGAATGGGAAAGTGGAGGGCAGCGAGGTAGGAAAAAACACGGCGCTCTTTTTGGAGGCAGGGGTGAAGAGTCCTTTATATGTGGTTCTTTGCCCGGATCCTCCTGCGAGAGAAGAGAGAGAAGAGAGACGGAAAGACGAGAGACAGAGAGGAGAGAGAGGAGAGAGAGAGAGAGAGAGGAGAGAGAGATGAGAGAGAGATGAGAGAGATATGAGAGAGATGAGAAAGAGATGAGGGAGAGATGAGAGAGATGAGAGAGAGATGAGAGAGAGATGAGAGAGATGAGAGAGATGAGAGAGATGAGAGAGATGAGAGAGATGAGAGAGAGAGAGACAGTGAGAGTGAGAGTGAGAGTGAGAGTGAGAGTGAGAGTGAGAGTGAGAGTGAGCGAGTGCGGCCGCAAGATACGCAACGCTAACCGCATGCCAAAGAGCGACGACAGGACGGAGTCGAACTTGCGAAGAGGGAGGAGGGAGGGAAGGTGGGAGGAAGACAAGGAGGAGGAGAGGGGAGGTGGGGAGGGGGGGGGGG